CGCTCATCAAGAAGTTTGTCTGAAGCGATGGCGGACTGAAGAGTAGAGCGGATATGGAGTCATCCGGTGGTGACATAACCTCCAAGTCTTTCATCGGATTATGTGTTTGAGTGGAAAGCAATGGATTGAGTGATGAATTGGACGAAAACATTGAACTCGTGTTCGCGGAGCCAAACATCGGCTGATTTACGCCAGACGTGGGGCCGAAGAAACTCATTGTCACCGCAATTGGTCTCACAATTCGCTACCAAATCAGTGGTCGATGTCTTCGGCGATAGAAATTCAATGCGTTTTTTGAACGAAACAAACACTTTATGAGTGAATGTCAACAACAAATGTGTTCACAAATTACGTGACACTTAATTACAGACAACTTTCGGTCTACAAAAGTATTGCAACTTTTGATTGCCATTCAATTGTGTCTCCAATTGTTGGCCACAAACACATTGATCATCACTTTTGGATGCGATTGCGATGACTGCGGACAGGGATGTGCTTCACGTCTTACCCTACGGTCTGATTGATCATGTTTTCAGCGGCCAATCGTTTACCGGCTAAATGTTGGTCAACGATATTTGAGTTTTTAATGGTAAAATGAGCATGGTCATGGATCAGACTCTGGTGACAATCATTCAATAGGTCTAACCATTGAGTGCCTCACGAGTGGACACAATATCTACACTTTGACACGTGTTTTGGGCCTAAATCTAGCGGTTATGCAACTGTTATGTAATGTATGAATGCGTTGAGTAATAAAACATATGCTTTGAGTCTTGTATTGAGTATTTGTGTTGTGTTTTGTTATTCACAACAAAATAAAAAAGCGATAAAAATGTGAAACAAAAATAATAATCAAACAAATCGTCAAATCATTAACTTTTTAATCGCTTTCTCATTGAAAAACTCATATCAATAGCGATATAACAATACATTCCGTGTAATCGTTACACAAAAACAACACATTTTTTCTTATCGTTAAACCAATAAATTAATGGTTTGTTTGCATTCAATGTGTACTGAAATTGTGTTATATTTTATGCAAACTTTCTTACATTAAGTCAATATATTTTTGGTGACAAAAAAACCCGAAAAACAAGTTTTCAATTTGTTATCACTTTTTCACTTGTTTTGCATCTCATTATCGCTGTTGACGAAGAGTTAGCCATCGATTGGACAGAAGATATTATCTGATGATAGGGTGGACACGAGTCACACTACTATCACCAGCTGAGGAGGAATGGGTTCCATAGAAGTGTCGCGTAAGGTATGGGTGTCGGCGGCGGCGGTCGTCGTCTTATTGGCCGCCTATTGGTATGAGTTGTCTCGAGTGGACGACCTCTTAGTGCGGCTCGAGATGACTCATGAAAGCCTTCTTCACATCGAAGACAGCGTTTCAGTGAATCCCAAGACGAAGATTGCCATCGGCTTCGGCTCGTGTGTGGATGTGGTCGCGCAGACACGCGATGTACTGCTCGACAGGTATTCGCCACCAAAAGTGGCCAAACCTCACGATATCATTGAGACTAGAGATGAACTGTTGGAAGCGTTCGCCTATTTCTTCCAATTCGGTGCCGCAGCCGAGTATGTCTTCATTCAGTCTTTATATGTTTGCCATTCATTATCTCATTTATGTCTCCCAAACAGGCGTTATATCAAAAACAGTACGCTATTCGCAGAACTGGTCGCTGCGGCCAATACTGGCCGACACACCAAACGTACGATTGGAGGCAACGCTCCGATAATGGCCTCGCGTTTTGCCAAAGAAGGGATCGGCGAAGTACTACTGGCCGCTCAAATGTCAGCTCAACTCCAGAGCCAATTGCCATCGGATGTGGTGTTGAGTTGTCCTCATCTGCCTTCCGATGACATCCATTTGCTGCTCGAATACCCGTTGGACGAAAAGTGGGAAAACAAATACGTGAGTCCGCGCGCTAACCGTTTCATTGTCCACAACGACAACAAGAACCCACTCCTCCACTCATTGGACACATTTTACGAAAAGGCGGTCGACTTTAAACCCGATTTAGTGATTGTAAGCGGCCTTCAAATGATGGACAACTTCCCCATTGATATCGAAATCCGTAAACAACGGATTGAAGTGTTGAGACAATCGTTGATTGATTTGCGTACGAATGACCCGAAAGTTCGCATTCACTTCGAAATGGCGTCCTTTGCAGAGGAGGCGCTCCTCAAGACTATAACCGATAGGATATTTCCGATCGTCGATAGCATTGGACTCAACGAACAGGAAGCGCAGAATTTGTATAATCTGTACGTTTACGGCAACCTATCGGTCGTATCGGATCCCTATCCACGGGTGGCGCTTGTTTTGGACCAAATGAGACACTTGTACTCAGTGTTGAACAGCGATAGCGCCGGACAACTGACTCGCATTCACGTCCACACACTTGCCTTCCAAGCAATTCTCATGAGGAAGGGTTCCAATTGGAAGGCACTGATGGCTAGCAGTGCGAAGGCGGCGCTCACCGCACACAGGCATACGGTATTCATTGACTTAAACATTAATTTATGTCAAGTTTTTAATGCAATTTTTTGAAATTCAAGTGCGGGTCAGAAGTGATTGACGTAAACAAAGCCAAACTCATTGTCGACGAGTCCTTCTCCACGACTCGTTCCGATAGCAATAAACGTCGCATTGGTTTCGACGCTAAGAATCCGGTCAACTGTTGGGACGAGAGTGTGAGCCAAGACAACGGCGCCACTCATCAGACCTCTATATGTGTGGCGCCGGTACTCGTCTGTACAAAAGTGCTGCAAACGGGCGGCGGTGGCGATAACGTGAGCGCCGCCGGACTTGTACTTCAAATTTAAGACTAATTTGCAATTATTTTTTAATTTTATTTTTTATAATATACGACACGAAAGACAATTTCATGTGTTTTTAAAACTAATTTTTAAATGTTTCTAATTTTAATATAAAACTCTCCGAAATTGTGTTAACTGTTTCTATACTTCTGTTATTTATTTTTATGATTAATAGTTAAATCCTTTTTAATTTTTTTAAAAACTTCTCATCAAATAATTTCATATTCCAGAGAAAAACCAATAAATTCTAGTCTTATTTGAATTAAAGTTACTTTTTTGCTAAACATTTGGTTTATTCGTTGTATTCTTAAGTAATTTAATTAATAAATTATTTGCAAACAATTGAAATTGAATTTTCTATATTAACTATAGAATCGATTTATTTCTCAAAAATAACTAGTTTTCGATATTTTTATTTCACAAAATTTTGATCAAATGAAGAGAAAAATAGACTGAAAAACAAATAAATCACGCATTCATTGAAATTACAGTCTTAAGTATTGAAGAGTGAAGAAGTTTCCCAAAACTACACATCCATTCATTCGGACATCCATTTGCGCCATCCTTTGGATCAGATCTTTCTTAAGACTTAGTTTCAAATCCAAACGCAATTCTCGTCGCCTATTGTCGAGTGAAAAGACTGTAAAGTGGATCAGCTCTTCGATCATATCGTCATTGGGTTGAAAAACCGAACCGACGCTCAGGCGATCGACATCTGCGAACAGTGCGAGAATATGTCTTGTAATGCGACCATTGATGGGGTCAAAGATGTGGACTTGTCTTAGTGTCGGTAATTTGGACACAAAATCCATACACCGATAGAAACACTCATTACATTCCTCTCCGTGCGTGCAATCAAAGCAACAGTACATGTAATCGATTGTAATTCGGCTCACATTCGGGAAGAATTTGGCGAACTGTGACCACCGATTCGGTGAACACCTTAATCGATGCAATGATATTGTTTTCAACGATACCATTGGCGGCATGTATTTGGACATCTCTTGGACATCGAAGCACATTCTTGGGATCTCTTCAAAGGGATCTCCTATCTGATCGTGACCGCTACTGATGTCCAGTGTTTTTAATTCTTGTAGTTTTGCGATACTTTCGGCAAATTCTTTGGCGGGAATGTCACCCAAAATAATCTTCAAATATGTGAGTCCTTTGAGTCGATGGCAGACCAATGCAAACCATTGGTTCCAGAGGTTCAACGGATCGTCAATCAATTGAAGACTACACGACTCATAAATGGATAGTTTGCTTATTTGTTGGCATTTAGTTGTGATCACATCCAGTGCCTGATTGTCCGCTGAAGTGACGCCGATGTGAAGGCATTGGATGTTTGCCGACAAACAGTCGGTCAGTGATGAGAGACTGATTGTCGGATCGGATAAACACTCTAACATTAATCCCCAGACATTCACCGCTTGAAGTGATGGCAAGCGGGCGATCAGGTCTCTCACAAATCGCATGTATTTGGTGGCAATTCTTCCGATCACTATCTGTTTGACTTTTGACAGAAGTTGTGTCCATTCGGTGATTGTATGTTCACTCAAATCACTGATAAGGATCTCATAGATGTAGAGGTTCTCGAGTTGTGGAAATTGATTGACAAATATCTCCATTGTCTTGAAACTGATGACAGTTTTGGAAAGATATAACTTCTTGACGGCACGGAATTGGCGGACAATTGTCTCAACTCTTTGGTATCGGTTGTAATCCATTGAGAGGTCGAAGCCATTCAAACTGATTGCTGGTGTGATATCAATGCGCTTCCAGTCTTCGGCCTCAAAGTTGTGTTTAAAGCACTTTATCTTTGAAGTGGCCTTCAATTCAGTGAATCCAACGCTCAGTTCACTCCTATTCTTCAGCACTTGTTGTGAACAATCCCTAAACTGTTTCGACACTACTTGTAGTGCAAACAAGTCTTTGATATCCAACCGCTTGAATATGAGTCCCAGAATGTCATCACACAAGACATCACTCCTCCAGCCATTCATGTCATTCATGTCTTCGCCTTTTATTTCTTCAACACTTCTTCGGATTGTTTACAGAATTTAGAGAATATGTGTCAAAACAGTAACTGATTTAACGGTTAAATTGAATTGAAAACTATTTTTAAACATTTCATTATTAAAACAAATCGCGAGAAAACACACAAAAGTGGACCAAAACTTTCATTACATTTCAATACAAATATATTTAACTATATTTTACGCATAAAGTGTTGGGACTTTACTTTACAGTTAATCTCACTAATAATGTCTCCGATTCTGACTTCGAGTTATGTTTAATCTCTAAATACATGTCAAATATGTATTATGTCTTCCCTTCAGATGTGTTGGCATTAATTTTTAAGTCTTTTTTAACTGTTAGAAAACTTGTTATTAAAAATTTATATTTTAGAGAAAATAATAAATTCTAGTCTTATTTGAATCACTTGTTTGAAAACATTTGGTTTATTCGTTGTATTATTAAGTAATTAAATTAATTAATTATTTGCAAACCATTGAAATACAATTTTCTATATTTGTTTAAATACTAAATACTTTTATATTTACAGAATATTA